AAAATACTCCCTTCAACGTAACTGCATGGCAACGCCGAGCTATCTCACACTCTAGAAGAAAACTACAGCCAAACCCTCCTGTCAGCTTCTTCTCGGTTTCGTTGTCACCAGCCAGCTCCCCGAAGCCCTCCCACCAGAGTCACAGCCCCGCCCATGTCCCTTCCTCCCAGCTCGGTGCACTCCTCACCGGCAGAGCCCGGGGCTCGAACAGCCCCCGTGGCCACCGAGCCCCCATGGCCACCGGCACCTCCGCTATCCGCTGCTGCAGCCTCCAGCTGCTTCGGTCCTCCTCGGGGATAGCACACATCAGTACTTTGTGGTGGATGCACCTCAGTGTTAATAAACAGAACACTAGAGCCTTCACCTTGGCCTCTGCAGGCCCCTGAGGGGCACATGAACAGATTGCAGGAGACTGCTCCCTCCGGGCACCAAAGTCTTAATTAGGGGGCGAACCCCAACATGTTACTCAGCTCCTATGTGCTCATGGGCAGCAGATGCAAAGGATGAGGGACATGAAAAAAGAGAAGCAATTTGTGTGACTTCCACTTCTGTTCACACTCACATAGCTCAAGCTTGGTGCCAGGTGCCATTTTAAGCAGTTTACACGTGTTAACTTATTTAATCCTCATACTAGAAAATCCCCTTTGAGGTAAGTACTGTCATAACCTCCACTTACAAGGATGGCAACTGGACTGACGTGCCCACGTTCGCACAGCCGAGGATTTGAACCAGGGCAGCCTGGTTCCAACGATCTGTGCTCCCGCCCCATCTGGTGAATCGCAGCCTGGTTACCCAGAATCCACACTCCCACTCCCTTCACAGGTGGTGGCTGCACAGAAGGTCACCCCAAGGGCCTGACTAATTCCAGGGGCGCATGGCTGGCCCCCTGAGCAGCCGACGCCCTTCCGCTGGCCCCCTGATCACATCACACACGCCGCGGAAGGGAGAGCTTCCTGTGAACTAGGCTCTCCCAGAGGCGCGCATGTGGCCAGCAGGGGCGGGTCACCACGGCCTTGCTGGTCACTCCACGCTCTTGACGCTGGGGCCACTGAGACAGTGTCCTCTCTCCCTGTCTTCGGTCTCCACCACCACAAGGTCTGACCCGTACCGACCCTCACCATTTCTGTTTCGTTTTTAATTCCAATCATCATATTTTTTTGTGTGCAAGGTCTTGAAAGCGCAAATAGAAAGCTATTCAGAGCACATATGCATTTTTCTTCTCTGAGCGGTGTTTATTTAAATGCATATACCCTGGCTTCCCGCACAGAGGGGCAAGCAGTACCTTTCAATTGAAATGTTAATGGGCGTGTAAACTTCAAAATCAAGTTTTGCATGTGGGAGAAGGGCTTTTTCTGTCTCTATTCCGTGGTTTTCCTTGTCCACCCTCCCTCATTATCAACCCCCGCCTTGCCCACCCCTTTCCACCTCTCGGAACTGAATTCTTTTGCTAAAAAGTCTAGAATGCACCTTCCTTATTTCAAACATTGGCATGTTAAACGTCAGGGTCACGGGCGACAGATAATGGACTCCTGCCCAACACAATTCATGAGGCTTTATCTCAGCCTCAGCCCACAGAGTTCCCCTCTGTATTCGGGAGCTTCTCCAAGGGGATGATTCTGAGGCCGACCCTGCATGATATTTTTCCAGGGCTTCAGATAGGTTTTCAGTTTTCCCTTCTTTTTTACTTTCTAAAAAGGCAGGAAGAGGCAGGAAAAGAATTATAAGAGATGTAGGTTCCTGGAGGCAAAGCACCACTGTGCGTGCAGTGAGTGGTCACAAAGAGGAGAGACGGCAGCTTTTTCCTTCAGAAGAGACCACAGGGACACGCAGGTGGCCTTTGTTGGGGGGGGGGGCAGCAGTGGGGCCGGCTGCCCGTGGGACATCCAGTTCCAGAGGCAGAGTGAGCAGCCGCCCCCCGCCTCCTCCCCCTGCACTCGCCCACGTGCAAACAAAAAGCATCACAGATTGTAAGACAATGAAGATAATATCTAATGCCTTTGCGTTCAAATATGGCCCCTTGACTTGCCTTTCTGAGGACCTCCTGGGCTCCACTGGGTGTGGGAGTGCACGTCTGGCTTCATGTTTCTTTCCTTTTTTTTACTTTCTCTTTCCTTTGTTCCCTCGTTAATAATGTTTATCTTGTTATACTGTGTGTGGTTGGCAAGCCCCCTTTAATCTTTTTTTTGGGGGGGGGGTGTGGTGGGGGGGAACCGGATAGGACTGTTAATCCATAAACCAGAACTGAGTTTGTAACATAAATCCCAGTGATTTTGATTCTGTTATTTTAAGGAGTGATTTTTGTTCTCTAGATAGTTCTTTTCAATGGTGTCCTGTTCTTATTTTCTGGAGGCAAACTACGCTTCTTCTCTGGTCGCTCTGGGAACATCAGTAATATTTTTAAATCATTGTGTCTCCTCTCTGCACCGTGTTCCCTCAAGTTCTTTTTCTCCCAGGCAACAGGCTTCTCCCAGAAACCCAGTGATGCGGGCGGTCTGGCTGGGCCGCTGAAGCGCTGCCTGGAGGCATGAGTGGGTGCTGGCCGGGCGGCCTTCTCCTGGGGCGGCCCTGGGGGCGGCGTGCGCGGGCCTGTGCTCTTGCCCTGGTCACCACCGCAAAGGCCTCTCCCGGCCTCTGGGCTGCAGGGCCAAGCCCGGGCAGTCAGCTTCCGGGAGCCCAGTGAGGACGGCTGCGTGTAAGAGAAGGCGTTCAACATCCTGTGTGGGCATAGCCACGCAACTGCCCTGTGGGTGGCGGCCCTCAGCTGTGCTGGCCAGCCAGCCCTGGGCCTGTGGACCTTCCACACCTGAGTACTCACGCTCCTCCCCTGGGCGTGGGCAGTGGGATCGGGGGAGAGGATCTCAGGGTCCAGTTTCATCTCAAACAACCTCCACCAAATCCTCGTGTTTGTTATGTCCGTCCCCTCTGGGCACCTGGCCCAAAGGAAGCTGCCGGGGCCAGTCCCGAGCCTCCTGGGCATCCGGCAGGTTTCGGCTTCCCGGCTGCGGTTTCAGGTTGGGCTCTGAGTCCCCAAAACCAGCCACACTGTCCGTCAGCTTTGGGGTTGCTGTCGCCGTCTCCTTTCCTACGTTGTTTCCATCCTTCTACATTGCCATCTTAAAGAAGAATCTCTTAGCGAGGGAGGAAGAGACGCTAGGCAGATTTGCTCATGCTGTCAGGGTTACCCAGTAGGTCGTCAGGTACAGAATGAATTTCGTTTTCCCACATGGCTCAACCCGACTCCCTCTCCTTTCAGTTCCCGGGTTCGAGACTGCCAATTACCTAACTCCGCTGGCGCTTTGCCTTTCTCATCTGTAAGACAGGACTGTGTCCCGTCACACCTGTCTCCAGGCGGTTGCTGCAGCTGCTCTGAGCGTTGCCACCTGGGTTCCAGGCTAAAGCAAACAGCTCTGGAGGAATCAGGCTCGCAGGGCGGGGGTGAGTCTCCTCCCAGGTCAGTGCAAGTGCTCAGGCCTGACCTCCGGCTTCCATCCTTCTTTCCCGATCAACCATGCAGCGCCACCCTGCGCCTCTGTTGACTCGGCCATTTGGGAGACGGCGAGTGCACTGATGTCTGAGAGGCCAGAGCCCTCCCTGCCCAGGGCCACGGACGACTATTATCGGCGATGGAACTTTTGGAAGAGGCATTATCCTCTCCCCATTGCCCTTCCTGCCTTCTCCTCTTTTCCTTCCAAGTACAAGCACTGCGCTCCCCTCCTCCGATAACAAGAGCCTTCCCTCTTTGTCTGACCTGCGTCTCCCTCTTCCTGCCCAGCGCATCCCCCGCAGTGTGCCCAGGCCAAGTGGGCACACCTCACCTGCCACATTATCCACTAGACAGGACCTTGGCTCCCGTGGGTCTGCAGAGCCCGGGGACCAGTCAGGCCTTCTAAGGAGCAAGGCCAAGTGCAGCGGGGAGGGGCTCTGTGGCTTCCACAGGGTTGTATGTCTCTGGTGCTGATGGAGGGGCCGAGACCTCCCCTGGAAACCCTTCCTGCTCTAAGAGGGAACCTGCGGGCATGCAGGGGCCTGGGAGAGAAATTCCCCGACCTCCTTCCCAGTGAAAACACCCAGCCTCTCCTTTTCCAGTCCCACTATCCCGTTGCCCTTGACTACAGTGGGAGGTGGACGAAGCATCTGTAGCAAAGACCGAGCCATCTGCAGGTGTGAGTGCGGCTCACTGAGATGGGACGGCAGCTCTGCCCTCCTCTTGCCGCTGACAATCCCCGCTTCCCAGACAGCCCTCCTGCTGCCGGCACCCACGCTGGGCTCCGTCTGGGACGGCCACTGAAGTCTGGAGCGGGGGAGGGCCTGACCCAGGAAGCTGGGTTGGCCTGGCGTGTGGGGGGCTGAAAGGGTCTGCTCCGGGCTCAGTCTGAGAGCAGGGAGTGAGGCTGCCCCCCTGCAGCCCCCCACGCAAGGGAAGGCGGCCCTGGGGGCTGGCCTGGAGGGAAGGGAGCTGGAGCTGCCGCCTACAGCACCTCCTGGAGAGACCAGCAAACCCCGGGGAGAGAGGAGGGAACTCGCGGCAGGTGGAGCCCGACTGCCCGGCCCCTGCCCAGCTGAGAGGTGAACGGGCTGAGGCTGGGCAGACAGATCTGGGCAGGATGCCCTGACCTACCGCACACTAGGGGTATGGCGTGAAGCGAGTCACTCCATCTTCAAACAGGGATAGAGCAGTACCTGTCCCACAGGGTTGTTACAGATGCGGGTAGGCCAGCACTGCGCCCGGCACAAAGGAGGCATACAGGAAGTGACAACTATTGTGGCGGTCTCTCCCTGTATCATGTACCAAGCTGTCCCACCACGCTTTGTACGTGATGACGCAGTCACCGTGGGGGCTCTGGTCCACAAAGGAATCTCTGCGCCAGCCTGCCTGGAAGGGCTTGCTCCTTCCTGCCCCCTGCAGTGCCCTGCCTCGCCCCCTCTGCCTGGGGGCGTGGTGCACTCTGACCCCAGTGCCAGGCTCTGATGCTAACCCTTGCTCTCCCGCTTCCCCGCAGACCTGCGCAGGATGACGGCCGGCTTCATGGGCATGGCGGTGGCCATCATCCTCTTCGGCTGGATCATCGGCGTGCTGGGCTGCTGCTGGGACCGGGGCCTTATGCAGTACGTGGCGGGGCTGCTCTTCCTCATGGGAGGTAAGGCTCGGGCCTGGGGGGCTCCTGGGGGGCTCCTGGGAGGGATTCTGGGAGGATGGCTAGGTGCAGGGCTGATGAAAGCCACAACTCGGGTGGGCTCTACCTGTTTACTCATTCATTTGCTCATCAAAATGATTTTTGAATTCTTTTAAACCACTTGCCACCGCTCTAGCTGCTGCAGGTGCAGAGGCTGAGAAGATGAGTAGGTGTGGTCCTTCCCTTCAGGGGTCTGACTGCTTGGTGTGTGGGAGAGGCTGTGCGGCTATGGCATTGACGGAGGGCGGACCCTGGCATTTTATGCACATACTAGACATCAGGGTTGGAAGCAGGTGCTGTCTGGTTGCTGTCTGTTACCCCGACGGCCGTAGGACCAGTGCGGTTCTTACCAAGGGATTGTCATTGTCGGTGCAGAGGACCAGGAACAGGCCCCCGTCTGTGGGAAACGAATGTTAGTGAGCAATCTACATGTGCCTCTCTTCTCCGTGCAGAGCTAAATGGTGCTTTTTTGGCCTTCTGGTGTGATGAGTCTCAGGTCCGAGCTGAGCCAACCATGGGGCATGCCCACCCCAGTCTGCTCCCCTTGGAGAGTAGTGGGCTGGCGAAAGCGCAGAGTGGGGTGGGGGGAATCGGGAGCAGACAGAGGGATGTTTCTGAGTCCCACTGGCCACGTGCCTCCGCCCAGCCCAGGTCCCTGTTATGAGCTGCCTGGCTCTGGGTTTCCGAGCAGAGGAGGGAGCTGAGGAGCAGGTCAGCTGGGGGAAGGGGGTGGCTGTCCCTGCAGGTGCGCACAGGCCTCTGGGGGCTGGTGAGCACGGGCTTGGCAGAGGAGGAGAACGGCAAGACTGGGCCCAGGGCCGCCCCGTTGGGCCCCGCACCGGCCGGCAGGGGCGGGTGGCGGGAGGGCCTAGGGGGCTCTCTGGCAGCTCGCACAAAACCAGCCTGCTCTGACCTTTGCTGCGCCTCGGCGCCCACCCCAGGGCAACCAGGGCTAAACCCCTCGTTCGAACGTGGTTTTGGTGGCAGCTGGGTCCTTTCGGCTTCTACTCGCAGTGGATGTCTTGTGTGGCTCTGGGAATGTAACAAGAAAAGTGGGGGGCTCTGTTTATAGTGAGTGGTCTCGCTAAGACGCTTGGTTTTACAAAGACGGGCTCCAGGAACACAGGGCTTTTCTAAGGCTCCTGCGACGTCTCCCAGGAACCTGAGCAAAGCTGAGCAAACAGGCCTCGGGCTGAGCAGGAATCCAGGATGGGAGCTCTTGGAGCTGACACTCCTTCATCCCCTGCCCCTCCCAGCTCCCTGCACGCACCCCCCGCACCCCCCTCTCTCCAGGCCGGGCACGGGGCTCCCGTCTGCCCAGGTGCTAGGGCTCCAGGGCCTGTGGACTCTGACCGCTTCCTCCGGGGCTGCAGAAGTCAGCCTCCAGAGAGAATCCTAGCGTGCTTACCCGCAGCCGGGGCAGCTCAGGTGCCCAGAGCCAGGGCGAAGCCCACCGAGGAAGACACAAGCCGTGCTTGCTCCACACCTGCCCAGCAGAGGGCGCTACACTGCGAGGCTGGGGATCAACCCAGAAATGATGCCTCCACCAGGTGTGTCGGACGGAGACCCTCCAGCCCCACCCCTCCCGGAGCCTGGGCAGTCCCCGCCCTCCAAGAGCGAAACTTCTAGGTTGACCTGTTGAAGCACTCGGAGAGTCTGCTGCCGTGACAACCACCTCACGGAGGCAGCAAAGCGACCCGTCTACAAAACTACAGACCTTGATGGCAAAGTGTGACAAAACGGGCCACGGCCCCCGCCTGCTCCCAGAGTGCATTTCGGGCGCCCGTCACTGGGCGCAGACAGGTGCCCAGAGGGTGAGATGGGCGGCAGGTGAGACCAGCTGGCGGGGACCACCCGCAGCCGCACGTGGGAGCTGGGAGTGCGGGGGGCGCGGGCGGAGGAGGAGGGGCAAAGATGAATGTGGAGTCCGGGGTCTGAAGACGGAACTGAAGCTGACTTTGGGTGAAACCACGGGGGCCCGGGTGACAATGGAGGAGCTCCACTCAGCGCCTGTGCAGATTCGGAGGAAGACGGCCCACGCCGGCACTCCTCTGCTCCAGGTTTAACTATTTCCCTGGGCTGCAGAGAGGGCCCCCTCCCCCCCACACACACACCTACACACCTTGTGAAATAACTAGCAACAAATTGTTTAATTAACACTCAACCCAGAGGAGGCAATTAAGTAGGGCAGCCGCGCCGAGCCGGGAGGCTGGGGGTGGCGGGTGGGATCCAGCCTTCCTCTGGCAGGGCTGCCGGGGAGGATCGAGCCCAAACTGGCGCAGCACCACCCCGGTGCCGGCGGCTGCCAGAGACGAGTGTCCGGGTGAATCACCAGTGGCATTCAGAAGCGCAGGAATAGGATGACACAGGGGAAGACAGCCTGTTGCGGGAGCCTGTGACGGCTGCGATCACTCGTAACGCGCTCGCTGGCTGAGCCTCAGAGCCTCGTGCACACGGATCCGCCAGGTGACCCTGAACATCCGGCCCGCGCCCCTCCCCCTCCCACACACACACTCTTGGGAGACTCCACCATCCCCGCCCCCGAGGGACGGAGCCCCCTGGAGCTCCCGTGGAGGCTGCAGCCTCTTCTCTGCCCCCTGGCAATCAGCCCTGCACAGAGACATTATTAGCATGAGTGGGTTTGAAAGCCCACATTCCTTTCTCTCCTTCAGCAGCTGTCTCGGTCCGCTTGGGCCGCTGCAGCAAAACGCCCCAGGCTGGGGGGCCCATAAAGGATGGACCTTTAGCACCCGCAGCTCCGGAGGCTGTCCAGTGAGAACCTGCTTCCTGGTCATGGACGGCACCTTCTCCTGGCCCTCACCTGGTGGGAGGCACGAGGGTGCTCTCTGGGGGCTCTTTGGTCAGGACACCAATCCAGTTCCTCCCACAGGCCCCTCCCAGTACCACCCCCTGGGGTTAGGACTCCGACCCTGGACTGGTGGGGGCACACCACCATTGTCCACACACAGCAGGAGCCCCGTGTCGTCTGGCTCTGTGCGGCCCCTCTCACCCCCTTTTCCGTCCTCCCCCTACTCTCACGTGGCTGCACCCACAGCTGCCCTTGTGTCCCGGGACAGAGCGCGCTACTTCAAGGCACCTGGTGGCCGGTCCCTTTGCCCGCGGGCTTTTCCCACCCAAGCCTTGTGGCCGGCTCCTTCAAGGATTCAGAGACGGTTTCCTTGACCTTCCTGAAGTCGGTCTCGACACCTCAATTTAATTTTCCGCAGTGCATTCACTACTTTCTGAAATGTTTGTTACTGCGTTTTGGTTTTAGTTGATGTTTTTTATCAGCTTAAAACATTGATTATCTCGAAGTTCCCTTGGGTCAGAATTCCACGCACAGCTTACGTGGGTTCTCTGCTCGGAGAACAAGAATCAGGGCGTCGGCTGGGGCGGGGCGTCGAGTCTCATCACAGGCTGGGGTCCTCCCTCCCAAACTCGCCGTGGCGCCGTCAGAATCCATTTCCGTGCAGCCGCCGTGGGGCTCAGGCAGTCGGGCTCTTCAAGGCCAGCGGGAGGGAGAGTCTCCGACTTCTTTAATCTCTGCTCTTCAGATCATTTTTGTTAAGACTTTAGTTTCTGGCCTGGTTGTAGGCTTTTAGAAAAACTGAGCAGCCAGTGCAGAGTTCAAGCTTTACGCTCTGCCCCTGGGCAGGGCTTCCCCTGTTGTTAACATCTTAGATGAGTGGGGTGCGTGTGTTATGCTTCGTGAATAAATGTCAGCATCTTGTTAATAACCAATATCCATAGCTTATTCAGAGTCTTGGGTTTTAGCTGATGTTCTTCTCCTGTTCCAGGGGCCCCTGCAGGATTCCCCGTCACATTTAGTGGTCACATCCCCTCGGCCTCCTCTCACTGTGGCAATTTCTCTGGTCTTCTTTGTCTTCCAGGGCCTCGCCCGCTCTGAGGGGTGCCGGTCGTCTGTACTGCGGGGGGCTCCTCTGTCGGAGCCCGAGGCACGTTTTTCTCAGGGGTAGACCGGGGTCTGGTTTGGGAGAGGAAGATCGCATGGGTCAAAGGCCACTTCCAGCACGTCATTCCAAGGGTATCACCATGATGTGTGACAGTTGATGGTGACCTTGGTCGCCTGGTGGAAGTAGTGGGTGTGTCGGGTGTCCCCTCTGTACAGTCACTCTCCCCTCCCTGTCCCCATCCTGTTCTTTGGAGGGAAGCCACTGGGCTCAGCCCACCCCTCACAGGAGTGGGCGTGCGGCTCCCTCGCCCTGCAGATGGAACAGCTGCACCAGTTACTTGGAATTCTTCTGCACAGGACATCGGTCTCTTCTTTCCCATTTATTAATTTATTTAGCCATTTATTTGTATCAGTGTGGACTCGTGCCTATTTCTTTTATGCTTTGAGTTGTAACCCAGTACTATATGTCTTTTGTTGTTCTGGCCCTGTGTCCCTTTGACACTCTCCCCTCAATGCGGGTTTTGTTTTTGTCGTTGTGTGTTTTCGCTTTTGAACACTTTGTTTTTGGCACTAGGAGGTGCTGCCGCTCACCTTGACTACTTCCTGCCCCAGTCCTAGAATCAGCCCTTTCTCCAAGGGGCCCTGGTTCCTTCTGCGGCAGGGTGGTCCTAGAAACCGAGATCCGGGCACCAGTGTCTGCAGTGTTTTCAACATGCTGTGTCTGTCCATCGAGTAACCACCCCCAACACTGACGTGATAACTGCACGAGCCCCAGACCCGTCCGCCTCGCTCTCCGGTGGCCCCTGAGCATGGCGCAGTGTCTGCAGGCTCTGGCATCTGCCGAACACATGCACTGCAAACGTGAATTATGTGCTGGAGAGAGGAAGTATTCTGTCTCCACAGAGTGGCAGTCCTTCGAGCAAGTACCCTCTCATCTCCTGTCCCTGGTCTTCTCTGCCCCTTCATGAGTTCCTTATTCTCTTTTCACCTTGGTTTGAACAGGCCTTGGGGTCTGTGTGCTTCTGACATGATGCGTCCCAGATTCTCTCTG